TCCTTCTTGGAAAACTTGTCAGGTTTTATGTGTAGTATGGAACCACAGATGGCAGTAAAGTGTATAATGTATGCAAAGGGGAATGGTTCCAGGATGATATTTTTCCCTTGGAAAACTTTCTAATATTTCCACATTAATAATGGGTCATTATCTAGAAATTGAAGCTGCTAAGTCCAAACACCAGAGGACTTGTAGTTACGCTTTGAATGTGTTCTTACAATTATCCATCTGCAAGTTAAATGCAGTGTAGTCTACAGCTTCCCAAGCTGAGTTTTGACTTTTATTTCTAGCCAGTTGACCTGTGCTCTGGTTTTTGACTGCAACATTACGTTGATCCACAAAAATATCCTGGATGAATGAGATGACATTGCCACCAAACCCTGAGTTCCAACTCTCAAGCTGGAAGTCTAACCTCTAATTTACTCTAGTCCCAGGCTGATTAGACCCATTATTTAATGAAGTCTCTCAGTTGCCTGTCTATCATATTATTTGTATTCATGGAGAGAAAGTGATAAGCCAAAATGCTAATTATCCATTTTTCTAAAATAAAATGTCCATGCAAAGAATAACAATGAGTTATTAAAATAGCACTTTCCATCTGACATAATACATCTTAACAAGCTCTTTAAATCCAGGGATTTTTATTGCTGGACATCTTATCTAATAAAAAGGAAGATGTTTACTTTCTGTCTATTCAGGCTTTGTTAGCAGTGGGCATCGGCTTTTGAATTTGAATGCTGTTGAAAATAATGAGACCAGATGGGGAAATCCAGTCTTTAAAAACAGATCAAAAAAAACACTATGCTTAATATATTGATTCATATCATCATTTGTCCAAGTACCTGGATCTAAAATAGTGGGTCTCAACTGGAAATAATTTTGTCCCCTTGGTGACATTTGGAAATGTCTGGAGACACTTTTGGTTGTCACAGTTGGGGGGAGGTACTACTGGCATCTGGTGGGTAGAAGCCAAGGTTGCTGCTAAAGATCCTTCCATACACAGCAAAGGCCCCCACAACAAAGAATTACTCAGTCCCAAATGTCACTCCTGCTGAGGTTGGGAAACTCAGATCTAAATCAAGGAATCCTAATAAATGATTAGGTAATACGTCTAATGAAATTAGGCTACATAAATGCTATGAATGTAATATTTTCTGTTCCAAGTTTTGATTTTTCACAAGAGTCTACCTTCTTGGAACAATCCTAGTTGTACCGAATGGAGGTCAGGCCCTAATTTCATAAGATCTCATAATTACATCTCAGTCTTGTGCTTGATTAAGTAGAAAACTTCCCTCTGATGAAAACTGAATGGAGAAAAATCTGTGCTGAGGGAGAAATAGCAAAGAATAAAAAGAAGGTAAATAAGAAGAGAGAGGGATGGTTGAGTCAAAGTGGGGAAAGTCAACTCCAATGTAATGGGTCAAACACACATATATATATATATATATCCCTAATAGCTTTGCAATTTTTTTATAAAGAATATTCAATCCTGCAAAAAGTTTTGTTGGCTAGTGAATTTACCTTCTACCGAACATCCTCAGCATTACTTGCCCACGCAACCCACATTCTTTTAAATACAACCACCCAGCCAGAACAATCTCCAGCGCCCATCACAGGCTCACAACACACACTCACACTTGAGGCCTCTCACACACAGGGACTGCCTTAGTTCAAGAGCTGAAATAACTCACCACCACCACAATTTTATTAATCATTAAAAAAATTAATAGATATTTTGATAACTGGAAGCAAAGTGATTTGGGGAACAAATAATGCATCACTTTGTTTTCTGTATGAAATTCTAGTATTAAACTCCCAAGGTAAAGTCCTAAGTTATTTTCTAATCAGAAAACAACTTACAGGCTCAACCTCTTCTAGTCTTTCTAGAGGAAAAGTCAAGAGAAAACAACAATTTATTTTCTAGACAGGTTTCTATTTCCTTGGCACAAAAACTCCTGGCACTAGAGAGCTGTGAGGAACACAGTGGTTTGGGGCTGGCAAGCTCTGAGCATGTCAGTTCCCAGCAGCCAGGCTCCTCCAAGGCCTGCCAAAGCCACAAAGCAACACTTAGTCCCTGAAGCCAAAAACCCTTGGGAGGGAAGCATCCTCCTCTGTGTAAAAGCTTAGTATATGCTCCATTAGCTAAAAGGTTGATTACGACTAGCAGAACCTTTAATAACTCTCAGCTAACAGTTGAAATTTGAAGGATACTAGTGCTACAGAAGCATGGTAGTCAATAAAGTATCGATAATGTAGATGCCAGAGAGGGGCAGTCATCTCTATTAGTTAACACTAAATCCCTCTCATTGGCCCAGATTTAATTCAGTAAATTCCTCTCAAAAGTTAAAAGAAAAACCTTGGAAAATTAAAGATAATGATAGCTGCAGATACTGGGAGAAAGGATCATAAACATTTATTTATATGGAACACTTATCTAAAATTCATGTACACCCAATGAAGAAATATTTGTTAGAATATAAGCTAGCCCCACCGAGACAAAAAGAAACACAGAAATAAAAGTACCGTGGAACCAATATAAATAATAAATCATCCCTATAAATATACGAGCACAGGAAAATCTACCAAACCCATTAAAACAAGAATCATATGTATAACTGAGTTTGTATGTAAAGGCTGGATTAAAGGTCAAGATGACACAATGATAAGAAATGGTAGCAGATCACCAATAGGGGAGAAAGCAAATACCCAGGTATGTTAAATTGTTGGCTATTATAAAAAATTAAATTATATACATTCTTAATAAATGGTACCAGAAAGCTAGGCTGAGTGTATAAACAGTGTTATCTAAAAGCAGAATACTAAATCATCTAGAAAACAAACACACTGGGATGTTTGGCATTTGATCTCATTTTTCATTATTTTCTCAAAGTATAATCATTTTTTTTTAATTTCCTCCCAAACAGATAAATTGTGTCCAACACAAAAATCTTCCAGAATAAAGTAATTAAAATGTGGCTGATGTGTGCCATACTTTCTTAATAGAAAACATTTTTTAAGAGGATAAATTAAAAGTGATCTCAAAGGTTAAATGTAATGAAGTGTGTCTAAGATACCCAGGTGCCAATTAAAAACATATTTGTGGTAATTAGCATTCAGAATAAACACGGGGATCTCAAGCTCAGGAATCTACACCTCATACTCTCAAAAGGCATATAGGTCCATGAATGTAACTAAATCCAAACACAAACTACACGAAGCAAGACGATGCCCTCTGGCATTGTTTTGGAATGTCTCCTCAAGGAAACTGCTTTATTACTTCTTTTAACCCCCAGATCAATGAGGTTCCCACAGCATGTAGAGGAAACTCCAAACCTTTCATACGGTTTTAGGCACCCAGTCATAACCAGCCAGCAAATTTAATTTCCGTAAGTTTCTTGACCAGGCCATGCTTTTGTCTCAGCATTAGGAATTGGAACATTCTGTTTCCTTTTTCCTGGAATACTTTGCCCTCCACTTCCCCTGCCTTTTTTTTTTTTTTTTCAGGTACCTTTTCATCTATCATGCAGGACCCAGCTTAAATGTCAGTTTCTCAAAGAAGTCTCTCCCTGACCACCCACGTCCCCATCAGGCCCTTGCATAGCACACAGTATTGTACTCTCAGAGACATTATCATCATTGTAACTATGTACTTATTAATCCATTTACTCATTTATTGTTAGTCTCTCCCGTTAGACCCTAAGTTTCTCGGAGGAAGAAAGCAATCCATTCGCCACTGCATCAACAAAACTAACAAGCTACCTGCCCCAAAGCAGGTGTTAATAAATATTTTTGAATGCATAAAAGTAGATTCAGATGTACTGTAAATATCACACTGCTTAAGAGACTTAGCTGCGATGTTTACTGATAGCGTGCTTTTAACACCATTACCCAACACCAATGTTAAATACGGGTTCTGCGTTACTTGCATAGCATCTTATATTTTTCAGAACATAAGTCTTAACATTTTTTAAGTGAAGTGAATTCTAAGGAATCTCCAAGAATGTAGAGTCCTCTGGTATCATTGGGACATACAGTTTATCAGCTTCCTATTGAACTGGGAGATAATAAAATATAAAATATTCTCAGAGTAGTCAGTCCCTAAACCATACCAACAGGCAGATCCCTAGCCAGGAACTCTGCTGGACACCGTCTCGATAAAGATATGTGAGGATTTAGCCCCTGAGTTCTTTCCTCTCCTGAACTTTTCAAAAATTGCTTTTTTTAACCTACATTTTACTTTAACATCCAAGAGGTCTAATACGAAATTTCAGATAAAGTACCACATTGAGTTAGAGGGATTGAATCTAAAACAGACTTGAATTTACAATAAAAAAAGGTTATGATAGCTAGAGAAGCCAGGGTCACAGGATTTTTTTCTTTTCTTATTTAAGCAGGTCAGTTCAAATGGGTAAAACATGAAAATGGAAGAGGAGTTTGAAAGCAAGAAAAATAAAAAATAACAACAGAGTAGGATTATTCTTCGACATATATGACTATAAAATAACTTTTAACTTTCATGTTTAAGAAAAGAAAAAGGCAGATTTAACGTGTTACTGGAAAAGAGTACAAGGTGTAACTTTCAACTGCAATTTTAATGATTAATAATTAGACGTAAATTTTCTAAAAGCAAGGAAATTATTTTGTTCTTTGTAACTCTAGTATCCAAAATAGTGTCTGACGTCTAGTAGGCAATCAGTAAATATTTGTTAAATGAATAATAACAATAATAGCGACTTCTATTAACACTTTGTCAAATATTGTGCTAAACAGCATAAATAATATACCAATTAACTATCACATCAACCTTAGGAGGAAGGTTTCTCATTACCATTTTATAAATGAGTTAACCACGATCCAAATAATTTCTCCAGGATCTGAGAGCAAAGCTAGCATTCACATCCAGGACTAGTTGACTAGAGCCTGCTTTCCTAAACACCTAAATATTCAACAGGATTTTTGGACATGCCAAGCTGTATAGAGGAGAAATGAAACCACGTTTAAAAGGATGTGCAGGAAGAAAAGATCAGAATGTAAGATGAACTATAGAACTGGAGAATGGGGCCTATTTCTGTGCAATCAGTTCACTGAAGCTGCAAGTTCAATGCGATAGGATATTATGGAGGTGGCAAGAGGCAGGATGAGGGTGAGAAAGGGAGTCTGGAAAAAATAGATAGCAAATAAATAAAGAGCTTATTCCTTTCCATAGTAACAACTATACCTCTAGCCGCAACACTGCCAGTGCTGTCAGGAGAAGCTCACAACAATGAGGCAGACCCTGTTTTTCAAAAGAGTAATAATGAAAAAATAAAGTCCTGTGGTGCTTTTCCTCTATCGGCCCTGCTTATAAATTCATAGCACAGCATGGAGGTTATTAAAATCCCATATGTGAGAACCACACACAGCACAAAGAGATATGAATTGGCGTTCCATGGAGATAATGCTATCTAATGGGCAAAACAAGTGGTAGGGTTTCATTTTTATTCTGAGTACATTTGAAAAGGGCCCAGCATCCATCCACTGCACGTGGATAGCTGACCATCCAAAGGCCGTCTCTCCCCTCTCTTCCTATGGATTAATAAGTGGGATATAAAGGGTAGGGCTGTTATCTGCCCAAGTCTGGATCTTCCCGTGACATTTTTTCTTTGCTGGTAACTGTTTGAAATAAGAGTGGATTAAAAGCATCTCTGGTTGCCTTTGTACAGAAGGGAAGCAGAGCAAACCTCCCCCTGCTCCCCGCAGAGCATCAGGCAGGCCCAGGAGTCCGAAGGAGCTCACTATATCACGTCCAGAGTACACCAGACACTCGCCTCAAGGCCCAGCACAAGCTGGCTCACACCTCATTATTTTCAAGTTCATTTGTCCACAGGCTTGTTTGGTCAGAAAAGGATGCTGCATATCTTATTAAGGGAAACCAAATAGGACTAATAGTAGCAAATGCTATTCTATATGCTCTGGCAATGAGAGTGGAAGGCATCATGTTAGCTCAGAAAGCCAATTTTAAGAATATCCTATCACGTTAATCAACAGAAAATCTTGTATCTGAAATTTCCTAAGTAACTTAGTGCTAGACAAACTAATAGCTTCATTTTTAATTCATTTACTTCGAAATCCAATCTTCAAAAGCAGGTAAATTCATGGCTGTAAGCACCTGGACCAGGGTATGGGCAGAAAATACTAAGGAGCCAAGAAGTTTAAAATTCAGCTAGAATATAAAGTAATTTTTTAGTCTTTCCAAATAACCAAAGTCCAAAAGGCATCTAACAGAATCTAAACCCAAAATCTGAAATGTATGGTAAAAGGTATAACCAAGATAGGAAATTAACTAAAATGTGAAGGATTTCTGAGTTGGAACATCATTCATTCATTCAGCAACTACTCAGTGAGCATCTGTACTGTTCCACGCCCTGGGGGAGTCCACAGGGAGATGAGAGGCACAGTCCCTGCCCTTGTGAAGCTCACATTTTGTGCTGAGAGGGAAGGTAGAAGAACATCTGCAGCCCTAGAGTTATCTCAGTTAAGAAAAAACTAAATGGCTTGGCTCTTGACCTAAATTTTCCTCAAGGAAACATCGAGCTCCAATGTAAAAACTCATTACTGATTTGATGGTTTGTAATGAGGAGCAACAAACTTGGGAGCTATGGTGAGATAAGCCTGGGAAGTAGAAGACCAGAAAACCCCCACCCAAGAGCAAGAAGAATGCAGCAAGGTGAAAGGCCATGCTGGGAAGAGCTTGAGGCTAAAATGGGTTCTAGTGTGGAAGAGTGAAAATGCTGGCTCCTCTAAGTGGGAGCATCCTTAAATGAAACTTTGATATCAAGCCTCTTAGATCTCTTAAAAACCTCTGCTAACTTACGTCAACCATCTAACTACCACAACTGAAAAGATGAGATGTTACTGGGCTGGTCATTTAGGATAAGACCCCCCTCTTTCAAGAATCCTTTACACAGGGGTTATGGATACTCTGTCAGTGGGTATCTGGAGATAACATAGACAAAACAGGAACGAATAAAATCTCAAGGGTAGCATTGAGGAGGCCTGGGTTCTAGGTTCATCTCTAACACCAATAGTTACGAGATTATTATTAGGCAAATCACTTTATCTTTCTATATTACCTTAGATCCCACTTGCAGACAATAGCCCCTCCCTATCCAAACTAAGGGTTATTAGGAGAAAAAAGCAAAATAGATTTTAAGAAACAAGGAAAAAATATATTTGGAAAACTCATGCCTCATTTTCAAAATTCAGTTAAGCCTGGTTTAGCCTCTTGGCTGAGAGTAATTAAAAAAAATAACATCTACAATAATGGTAATTGTTCTAACTTACTGAGAGCTTAATACACGTACCGGCACACATCTCATTTAATCCTTAAAATAACCCTGTGAGGTTCCTATGATTATTGCCCACATATTACAAATGAGGAAGCTGAGGCCCTGAGAAGTTAAATGTTTTGTGAAAATTCAGATATCTGGTAAACCAAACTCAGATTCATCTGATTCTCAAGCCCATGAGTTAAATCACTAAGTTATTGTGGTTCTTACTCATCTCTCAAGATTCACTTCAATTCAAATCAGCATAATTCAGTTCAATTAAATCCACACACATTTAAAAAAAATACACAAGTTTTCAGAGTCCAGTAAGCTAACACACTTGCAGAAAATGACTTACACATACCCTTGCTGTAAGTTCCCAACTTACTTAGCCATGAGTTCTTATGCAGTGGGAGCTGGGTGACTGCACAGGGAACAGACTGACGTCACATGTCTTAGCACTCACCGTTTGGGTCCCCAGCACAGTGCTAAGCTGCTCTTGACACTCTCCAGGGTTGTAGAATCCCTCCAGAGTTAAGAAAATAAATTCTTCTCTTCTTATTCTTAACACTTAATTTATGCAGCTCTATTTAAGCTTCTAGTTCATGAGCCAACCTTGTCAACAGTATAAGCTCATCCTCATCCATAGAGAGAAAACAGTCAGTTCCCAAAATAACTATGCCTCCAGCTTTCAGGAAATCCTGTCTTCCTGATTGCTCAGTATAGTTCTAGGTATTAAAAGAATTTAAAACAAATGTTAAAAATCATCCAATCCCTCAAAGTAATTATAGTAACAATCACAAATATTTATAGAGAACTTACTTTTGTGTCAGTCACTGTTTTAAGTAATTATTGACTCATTTAATTTTCAAAACAGCACTATGGCATGGGCATTATTATTACCTTGATTTTATAGTGAAGAAATGAAGACACAGAGAATTTAAGTGATTTGCCCAAGTGTCAAGCTGAGATTTAAACCAAGTAGTCTGTCTCCAGGGCTGTGTTTTTAACTGCTACATCATGCTGCCCCACATTACATGCCCTACATGATGAGGGAGGAAAAAGAGCTGAGACAACTAAATAATACCATTAACTGGTATGTTTATTTCCATAATAAATAATAGATGAGAATGCTAATGGAGTTTAAAAGTTAGACTCTATCAGATGGAGGAAGGTTCATGAAGCATATAGAACTAGAACCCAAGAAATTCCATTTGTAATGTTTGCCCACCTTCTTCACCCAGAAACTACTTCTGCATTTTTTATCTTGAGGTTTTTTTGATTTTTATTAAAAGGCAAATTTAATGAGGTACAACATATATACCGTAAGAAAACACAACACTATTCTGACTTGTATCATTATAGCATAATTTTACCTGCTTTGGAATTTATAGACGGAATCACATTGTACGCATTCTTTGAGTCTGGCTTTGTTTGCTCATCATTACATCTGCAAGGCTCATCTATGTTGTTGTGTATGTATGGCAGTAGTTCATTCATTATTCCATTATATAAATATATGACATAATTTTTCTACTCCACTGTTGACAAAGGGTTATATTCAATTTCATGAACGTAAGTGTACATCTCCTTTCCTGCCAAAGGTACCCATTTGTGTTAAGTACCCAGGAATGGAATTACTGGGTCATAGGATATGTGTATGTTCTTGTTATTTTTTTGTTACTGATTTATAGCCTAATTCCACTGTGAGCAGAGGAAATGTTACATGTGATTTCAATCCATCGAATTTTTTAAAGAGTTACTTCTTTGACCAGTATATAATCAATTTTATTTCCTGTTTCATGTTTACTTGTAAAGAATGTGTATTCTGCAGCTTTGGGGTGTAGAATTCTATATATGTTATTTAGGTTAAGTTTATTAACTGTGTTGTTCAAATACGCTATATCCATACTCATATTTTTGTCTGTTAATGCTAATAACAAAAGAGAGAGTGAGATCCATTAAAATCGCTGTAATCTGCAGATTGTCCACGTCTAAGTTTTGTCAGTTTTTCTTCAAACATTTTGTATTAAGTGCATATCTTCTAAGATTATTGAGTATTTCTGTCAAATTTCCCATTTTATCACTATGACATGCCCTCTTTCATTTTTAGTATGACTTCTTTCCTTAAAATCTGCAATGTCTGATACCAGTATACCAGCTTCTTTCTGATAAGTGTTCCCATGATATATCTTTAGCATTCTTTTATTTCCAGCCTTTCTGTATCCTAATATTTAAGAATGTGTCTATTCAGGTAGCATGAAAATTATTTTTATATGGTTCAGCAATAAATCTTTAATGGGAATATTTAGACAGTTTATATTTAATATAACTATGAATATATCTGGATTCAAATCTACCACCTCCTTGTTTGCTTCCTATTTCCATTTGTTCTTTGTTCCTATTTTCCTTTGCCCTTTAAAAAACTAATCAAGTTTTTAAAATTTTTTCCATTTCTTCTTTATTGATCTGTCACATTATTTTCTTGTATTATTTTTAAAGTTATGACCCTAGAAATTACATATTCACTTTTCACTTATTAAACAATAATTTAGTATTTTTATCAGTTCCCAAACATTGAAAGGATCTTACAGCACTTTAACACTTCACCCTGCTCCTACATCTTTTACTACTATTGTCATGTATTTTAATTTCACTAGACATTATTATTTTTGTTTTGCATATTTATCTATATTTACCTTCATATTAAGCCTTTTTCTTGCTCTTTATTCCTTTTCTGTTCCTGTACTTCCATATAGGGTCATTTCCTTCTGCCTAAATAATTCTCTATAGTATATTAATGTGAGTCTGCTGTCAACGAATTCTGTTTTTGTTT